ATGTGAACAGGAGGAAAAAGCGTCCTGTCAATACAGTCAAGAATACAGATATCACGAAGAAGGTTTGAATGTATTAAACATATTGTGCTAATCATGGAATCTTTCTTGTGTTGTTAATGTCACCAAACATGCGAAAAATGTAATACATATACTACTTAAAAGAAGTTTAAGAACACCCGATTTTTTCCCTATGACTGTAGTTAATTTGTCATGGCCGGTGGGTGTTGCAGCACAAAGCCTTCCAACTGGAAGTGTTTTCAGTGATACGTATTTTGTATCTTTTTTTCGATTATCGTATTATTTGTTTACTTTATTTTAATTCGTCCTGATTCTATTGTATTTAGTTTTAATACTTTGAAGACTATCGAATTGCAAGGGAGGGTTGGGTGTTACAAGGAGATATCCATTGTTTGAGGTTTCAGTGAGTGAGTGATTCTGGTTTTATGCCGATTTCAGCAATATACCAGCAATGTCACAGCAAGAGACACCAGAAATGGGCTTCACACATTGTACCCATGTCGGGAATCGAACCCGGGTCTTCGGGTGACGAGCGAACGCTTTAACCACTAGGCTACCTCACCGCCCCGTTTAAGGTTTCAGCCATGATAATGCATACATGTAGAACAGCACATTCAGGCAATCTTTTTGAATCTGTTTGCGTCCGATACAGCCGACCTCCTCCTTGGTGTGATGGATAGAACGTTTGCCCGGATAGCGGATAGTCGGAGATTTGATCTGCGGCCGCATCATACCAAAAGACGTTAAAACATGTTACTTGTTGTTACCCTTCCTGACACTCGGCATAAAAGGATTCAACAAGGACTGGTTCGGCTCGGAGTCCGTATAATGAGTGCGGTCTCCATGTTAAACTGTGGCATAGTATTTCAGTGGCTAGTACTATAGAATCGGCTTCAGTCCGGGCAAGCAGCTACACACACACACACACACACACACACACACACACACACACACACACACACACACACACACACACACACACTATAACGTGCATGCACATCGCTTGTCGTAAGAGGCGACTAACGGGATCGGGTGGTCAGGCTCACTGACTTGGTTGATGCATGTCATCGTATCCCAATTGCGTGGATTGATGCTCATGATATCAATCACTGGATTGTCTGGCTCAGACACGATTATTTACAGACCGTCGTCATATAGATGGAATATTGCTGAGTGCGGCGTTACATCCAGTCATTGACATCTTGAGCATCGATCTACCCAATTGGGATCGATGACATGCGTAAACCAAGCTTGACCACCCAATCCCGTTAGTCGTCTCTTGCGACAAACATGGGTTGCTAAAGACCAATTCCAACCCGAATCTTCACGAGTTTTCGACCCGTATAACAAATTTCTCAAAACTTAACACAACTAAAACTGTCTTCCTCTCAACTTGTGAACCCGTAACGTGTACAAGGCAACTTTTCCGTTCTTTTTACACCATTACAACAAAAACAGTTAAGAATTTATGATTAATCAGTGGTTAATTTTTACATTTTTTTACTAATGAAATATGTCATACCTAATATAACTTCCTGGATCTACCACATATGGACACACAAGTTGGGCGGGGGGGGGGGGGGGGGGGGTGATATAGACAGAGCAACGGGCCTGAAGATGGATAAACCGACAGCTTTACGCGATTAAATATTGCCAGTATGTTTTCCAACAGATAAAACTCTGAGGTCCTTGTAATAAAAATGTCAGGTTCACAGTAAACGAAATCGGAGTTTCATGTATGTTAATTAGTTTGGGTATTTTGAAACAATCTTGAAAAGGATCCGAATTACACAAATTATTCTGTTTCAAGCCTGACTCTGTCAAAAGGAATGTTGTGATTATCATTGTCGCTGAATTAGCCTTGAAGTAAACATATACGTTTCAGCGGATGTGCAAATGTATTTCTTTAATTACAAACTTCCTTGGTAATGTGGCCACCATTGAAGAAACCTGTTGCTTATCGTCTCCCGTTATTTGCGAGTGAGGACCATGTGCTGCCAAGATTGAAACGATCGTCTCCGGCTGCGCTACTAATAACTAAAATATTTCACATTTTCCAATTATACTTATATAATATGTGTGTACGGGGGGAAATGAACACGGTTGAAGTAGAGACCTTGCACGTGGTCAAAACAGCTGCCAAAGAACCCAAGGTCACGTGATCCATGGTTCTCTTTCATCAGTCCCCTGCGACTGTTTATCACACAGAAATGTGGGAATAAATAAAACCCATGCGTAATTATCATATAACAAACTGACAAGACCGGATTTGGGGGAAATAAAGGTTTTGAATCCGATCTATTTTGGACTCTGGGCAAGGCGGATGGGTGGAAGCCGAGAGTGGTGAATGACGGCAAGCATACAGTAGGGAAAAGCGACATTATGTGTATAAACATCTGGCTGATTATCGAGCCCTGATTATCTTTATATGATCTACAAATGTTTCGTCTCATTACAAGTTCCATTATGACGATTTTCAAACATCTGTTTTACGTATTCATCCGCTATCTCCGCCATCATTGTTTATTTTATAGCGCGTGCGCACATCGAGTCGTTTTTCGTCACTCACCAAAGGAGCGACTGGTAAACATGACGGTTCTGAGCTAATATCAAACTTTTCCTCATAATTTACGCTAATATACACAACCGCTCTCCGCCTTTCAGGTGTATCTTGACTGTGATTTATTCCAGCGCGAAGAGAAAAGGACCAGCTCGCTGCTTAATGCCCGTACTATTTTTTATCCGTGCCCGGCGGAGGAAATTTACAATTCCATTCAAACAGCTGGAAAACTATAAATTTGTAATTCGTCCCCTCACAATCTCATTATCCGCAGAATTATACTCCATTCTCCTTTCTTAAGCATTTCTATCTTTGCAAATGCCTTTATTCTCTAGTTTCGCCGGTGTAAAGTTTGCGATAACCGTAAGATTTATTCCCGATCCAATTGCACGCAAAGCACGAGGCTCTCGCTTCGCACGTCGCACGTGCGAGGCAGTCAATCTACTAACTGCTTATCACCCCGCTGCTGACATCTCTCGCTGTTCTATATGACCCCCGGGTTTCGTCGGCTTTGATCTTTGGTGTTCATTAAGGAAAAAGTAAATAAAGAGTAAGGAAATGTGCGTCTAAATGCGCTCGGAGACACGTTTAGAAAGTCACTTTTCCAGGGAAAGCGAAAGTTTGTGATTTCTCTTTGTAATGCTTGAAAATGAATTTGATTTCAGGGCTGATATACTTTGCTCATAACACGATAACATAGAATAATTAAATTAATTCGAATTTTACGTACGTATATTTTGGAAGGGGAGGGCTATATATCCATGTTATTCTTACAGACTTTTTATTCCATAGTTCACACAATATGAAAACGCAAATATCTCTACTTTCCATTGCATTATTATTTAATCTTTTTTCAATTCAGGTGCCGGTATCACCATACGTTGTAACGTTAATATTTCTAAACCGATTCTAAACCGAACGTCGGTACGGATTTATTGCCTAGCGACGCCCTAAATATCCACAACGGATCAAAAGCAATAAAAATGCTTTTTCCAGCAGACAAAACTCTAGTGAATGACCTATCCAGTTGTGTTCGTATCTTATCGCGAATCAGTAACCGAGCACTTTGTAATGTTACAAAATAACGCTTGGATCGTACGCAGTTGAGTGCCTCACGTTGCGCCTGCGTCGTATCGATTTCCGTGTCACGTGACTTTGCGACAGCGATATGGTTGTTGCAAACGAAACTACTTATTACTGCTGGTGAATGGCGATATTAAACTCGGTCGTAAAATGCTTGATTTCACGCAAAGCACACGGCATTGCTTTGTACCCTAGTACCCCTTGGGTTCACGAGTGTGACATAAACAGTGGGGAAACTTAGACTTAACCACAATGATGCTCGTTTAAATATTCAAATCCGTTTTTGAATTGTCTGTTCCGTAATCTTATGAGTATCTGTTGATACATTGCGATAATATGGAGCCCCTATAACTCAACCGTATTATATTTTCAAGTTTGATGGGGTTTTTTAAATGATGTGTCGGTTTAACCTTGTATATGTTTTTTTGCTTGTATTTTGTTGTTATCTATTTTATGCAGCTCATTAGATGTTTATATTTGTTTGTTGTTTTTTGTTGTTGTTGTTGTGTGCGTGGGGAGGGGGATACTCAGCAATATTACAGCTATATGACGGCGGTCTGTAAATAATCGAGTCTGGATCAGACAATCAAGTGATTGACACCATGAGCATCGATACACGCACTTGGAATACGATGACATGCTTCAACCAAGTCAGCGAGCCTGACCAACCGATCCCGTTAGTTGCCTCTTACGACAAGCACACTCGCCTTTTACGGGAAGCATGCCCCAAAATGAAAAGAACGGTGATGTCGTAGATTGAATCAGTGCCGGTAATGTCATTGCTGCCATGAGGGAGATGAATGAAGCCCCATCCACACCCCTAGGCGGGTTCGAATCCCTTGATGGTAACATCAGAGCTTGGAAGCTTAATGTGGCACTACCAATGTGACGCAAGTCGAAGATGTTTGCCTCTGAGCACGGATTTAGTTGGGAGCACGGGTGAACCAGTCGTCTACAGCGCCTCAATTTGCTGTGCAGAGTTGTGTCTCTTGTGCCCCTCAGTAACCTTCGGTTGTGGGTTCGAATCCCGGTTCGCCCTGATTATGTTTCTAAGTTTGTCACCTACCCGTGCTTGTGGGTTTCACCAAAGTGGTAAACGTCTGAGACCCGCATCACTTCGGGCTTTCCGCTCACATTAAGCTAGCACGCCTTGTTACAACTAGAATGCTACACAACTCATTCATTCACTCACATTGTGCATGCAAACTAAAGATCATAATCATGACGAATCTAGGGTTCTGTAAAGGGGATCGTGGCAGGTCCGTGGGACGCAACTTTGCACAAAGACTTACGGCGTCATAGACCGCTGGTCGGCTTTTATCAGTATTCCCGTACCATCATGACGTGTGATCTTCATGTGGGACGAAACCCTGAGGTGATGCAGGTCGTAGATGTTTATTGCGGTGATGAAACCCACGAACATGGGTATGGGGCTGACAAACCATTAGTAAGAACCATGGTTAATATGGGATTCGAACCAGCAATTAGAGAGTCACCACACGTCCAACGGACCGATCTCTCCACAGCTATTTGTGGTCCCTAAGACGGCTGTGCAGACTTGGCATTACACATATACCACTAGCCTATTTGTATATCAGCTTTTGTGTATAAACAAATGCTCTTCTAGTAAAATCAGATGAGTCTGCACGAATGGGAAGTCATTTACTGCTACTACACACATCACCATAACCCCAACCACTACTCCATCCATCACCATAACCCCAACCACTACTTCAGACATCACCATAACCCCAGCCACTACTTCAGACATCACCCTAACCACAACCACCACTTCATACATCACCATAACCCCAATCACTACTTCAGACATCACCATAACCCCAATCACTACTTCAGACATCACCATAACCCCAGCCACTACTTCAGACATCACCCTAACCCCAACCACCACTTCATACATCACCATAACCCCAACCACTACTTCAGACATCACCATAACCCAAACCACTACTTCAGACATCACCATAACCCCAACCACTACTTCAGACATCACCATAGCCCCAACCACTACTTCAGACATCACCATAGCCCCAACCACTATTTCCAACATCACCATAAGCCCAACCATTACTCCATACATCACCATAACCCCAACCACTACTTCAGACATCACCATAACCCCAGCCACTACTTCAGACATCACCATAGCCCCAACCACCACTTCAGAAATCAACATAAACCCAACCACTAATTCAGAAATCACCATAACCCCAACCACTACTTCAGACATCACCATAACCCCAACCACTACTTCAGACATCACCATAGCCCCAACCACTACTTCAGACATCACCATAACCCCAACCACTATTTCCTACATCACCATAACCCCAACCATTACTCCATACATCACCAAAAACCCAACCAATACTTCAAACATCACCATAACCCCAGCCATTACTTCAGACATCACCATAGCCCCAACCACCACTTCAGAAATCACCATAACCCCAACCACTATTTCAGAAATCACCATAACCCCAACCACTACTTCAGACATCACCAGAACCCCAACCACCACTTCAGACATCACCATAACCCCAGCCACTATTTCCAAAATCACCATAACCCCATAACCATTACTCAATACATCACTATACCCCAGCCACTTCTTCAGACATCACTATAACCCAGGCTACTACTCCAGACATCACCCACTACTCCAGACATCACTATAACCCCGGCCACTACTCCAGACATCACCATAACCCAAGCCACTACTTCAGACATCACCATAACCCCGGCCACTACTCCAGACATCACCATTACCCCAACCACCACTCCAGACATCACTATAACCCCAGCCACTACTCTAGACATCACTATAACCCCGGCCACTACTCCAGACTTAACCATAACCCCGGCCACTACTCCATACATCACCAAAACCCCAACCACTACTTCAAACATCACCATAACCCCAGCCATTACTTCAGACATCACCATAGCCCCAACCACCACTTCAGAAATCACCATAACCCCAACCACTATTTCAGAAATCACCATAACCCCAACCACTACTTCAGACATCACCAGAACCCCAACCACCACTTCAGACATCACCATAACCCCAGCCACTATTTCCAACATCACCATAACCCCATAACCATTACTCAATACATCACTATACCCCAGCCACTTCTTCAGACATCACTATAACCCAGGCTACTACTCCAGACATCACCCACTACTCCAGACATCACTATAACCCCGGCCACTACTCCAGACATCACCATAACCCAAGCCACTACTTCAGACATCACCATAACCCCGGCCACTACTCCAGACATCACTATAACCCCGGCCACTACTCCAGACATCACCATTACCCCAACCACCACTCCAGACATCACTATAACCCCAGCCACTACTCCAGACATCACTATAACCCCGGCCACTACTCCAGACTTAACCATAACCCCGGCCACTACTCCAGACATCACCATAATCCCAGCCACTACTCCAGACATCACTATAACCCCAGCCACTACTCGAGACATCACCATAACCCCAACCACTACTTCAGACATCACCATAACCCCACCCGCTACTCCATACATCACCATAACCCCAACCATTACTTCAGACATCACCAAACCCCAACCACCACTTCAGAAATCACCATAACCCCAACCATTACTCTATACATCACCAAAACCCCAACCACTACTTCAGACATCACCATAACCCCACCCGCTACTCCATACATCACCATAACCCCAACCACTACTTCTGACATCACCATAACCCCAACCACTACTTCAGACATCACCATAACCCCAACCACTACTTCAGAAATCACTATAACCCCGCCCGCTTTTCAATACATCACTATACCCCAGCCACTACTCCAGACATCACCATAACCCCACCCGCTACTCCATACATCAACATAACAAACCCCACCCGCTACTCAATACATCACTTTACCCCAGCCACTAATTCAGACATCACTGTACCCCAGCCACTACTTCAGACATCACCATAACCCCAGCCACTACTCCAGACATCACTATAACCCTAGCCACTACTCCAGACATCACCCACTACTCCAGACATAACCATAACTCCAGCCACTACTGCAGACATCACCATAACCCCACCCGCTACTCCATACACCATTATAACCCCACCCGCTACTCAATACATCACCATACCCCAGCCACTTCTTCAGACATCACCAGAACCCCAGCAAGTACTTCAGGCTTCACCACAACCCTCGCCGCTAATCCATAAATCACCCTAACCCCAGCCACTACTTCAGACATCACTATAACCCAGGCTACTACTCCAGACATCACCCACTACTCCAGACATCACCATAACCCCGGCCACTACTCCAGACATCACCATAACCCCAGCCACTACTTCAGACATCACCATAACCCCATAACCATTACTCCATACATCACCATAACCCCACCCGCTACTCCATACATCACCATAACCCCAACCATTACTTCAGACATCACCATAACCCCAACCACCACTTCAGAAATCACCATAACCCCAACCATTACTCTATACATCACCAAAACCCCAACCACTACTTCAGACATCACCATAACCCCACCCGCTACTCCATACATCACCATAACCCCAACCACTACTTCTGACATCACCATAACCCCAACCACTACTTCAGACATCACCATAACCCCAACCACTACTTCAGAAATCACTATAACCCCGCCCGCTTTTCAATACATCACTATACCCCAGCCACTACTCCAGACATCACCATAACCCCACCCGCTACTCCATACATCAACATAACAAACCCCACCCGCTACTCAATACATCACTTTACCCCAGCCACTAATTCAGACATCACTGTACCCCAGCCACTACTTCAGACATCACCATAACCCCAGCCACTACTCCAGACATCACTATAACCCTAGCCACTACTCCAGACATCACCCACTACTCCAGACATAACCATAACTCCAGCCACTACTGCAGACATCACCATAACCCCACCCGCTACTCCATACACCATTATAACCCCACCCGCTACTCAATACATCACCATACCCCAGCCACTTCTTCAGACATCACCAGAACCCCAGCAAGTACTTCAGGCTTCACCACAACCCTCGCCGCTAATCCATAAATCACCCTAACCCCAGCCACTACTTCAGACATCACTATAACCCAGGCTACTACTCCAGACATCACCCACTATTCCAGACATCACCATAACCCCGGCCACTACTCCAGACATCACCATAACCCCAGCCACTACTTCAGACATCACCATAACCCCATAACCATTAACCATTACTCCATACATCACCATAACCCCAACCACTACTTCAGACATCACCATAACCCCACCCGCTACTCCAAACATCACTATACCCCAGCCACTACTTCAGAAATCACCATAACCCCCCCCCCCCCCCCCCCCCCCCCCCTTCTACTCCATACATCAACATAACCCCAACCACTACTTCAGACATCACCATAACCCCACCCGCTACTCCATATATCAACATAACCCCAGCCACTACTTCATACATCACTATAACCCAGGCTACTACTCCAGACGTCACCCACTACTCCAGACATCACCATAACCCCGGCCACTACTCCAGACATCACCATAACCCCACCCGCTACTCCAGACATCACCATAACCCAGGCTACTACTCCAGACGTCACCCACTACTCCAGACATCACCATAACCCCGGCCACTACTCCAGACATCACTATAACCCCAGCCACTACTTCAGACATCACCATAACCCAGGCTTCTACTCCAGACGTCTCCCACTACTCCAGACATCACCATAACCCCGGCCACTACTCCATACATCACCAAAACCCCAGCCACTACTCCAGACATCACCATAACCCCACCCGCTACTCCAGACATCACCATAACCCCAGCCACTACTTCAGACATCACTATAACCCAGGCTACTACCCCAGACGTCACCCACTACTCCAGACATCACCATAACCCCGGCCACTACTCCAGACATCACCATAACCCCAACCACCACTCCAGACATCACCATAACCCCAGAAACTACTCCAGACTTAACTATAACCCCAACCCTTACTTTCAACATCACCATAACCCCAGCCACTGCTCCAGACTAAACTATAACCCCACCCCTTACTTTCAACATCACCATAACCCCAGCCACTGTTCCAGACTTAACTATAACCCAGCCCTTACTTTCAACATCACCATAACCCCAGCCACTGCTCCAGACTAAACTATAACCCCAGCCCTTACTTTCAACATCACCATAACCCCAGCCACTGCTCCAGACTTAACTATAACCCTAGCCCTTACTTTCAACATCACCATAACCCCAGCCACTGCTCCAGACTTAACTATAACCCCAGCCCTTACTTTCAACATCACCATAACCCCAGCCGCTATTCCAGACATCACCAAAGCCCCAGCCCCTTACCTCGCATCTACCGCCCCTATGTCTAAACTAGGTGAGAGTCGACTAAAATGTACAAGACGGTGGATAATGTCACAACTACTTGACTGGATATCGTCCATTCGAGTCCCATATTTAATTTGATTATTCTCGTCCCTTGGTTTGTCAGCACCATACCCGTGCTCACTGATTTCAATCAAACAGTATAGTTTACGATCTGAGTCGTGGAACCCAACCCAATAGGTATATTTAGATGTTTAATTAAATGTTAATATTGAATGGGGGTTGTATACTCCCCCGGGAGCTGAGAATGAAAATCGAGTGCTCACTGATCCATTGACCGGGGTAATAATAGTGTAGCGTAGCATCCACTTGGTGAATGGAATCTGGCGCATTATAAATGCTTTTATTATTATTTTATGCCTCTTATTCCACATAGTTCCTATGTGTGGAATCGAACCGGATCTTCAGCGAGACAAGCTAACACTTCTGCCACCAGGTCACTACATATCCACCAACACAGAACCATGTGAGCTGGTGGCTCAGCTGATAACGGCGGGGATCATTACCCATATTTCAAGTCACTGATTTGTCTGATCCAGACTCGATTGTTTACTAGGCGCCCTGAACAAGCTTGGGAATTGTAGACTGCGGCGTTAAACAACGTGCATTCACCCACCCTACACCTTAGTAAACAAGCTAGGGGCCATCTGCCTCGTCATGCATATCCACTAACGCACAGCGCGTTCTGTCTGACTAAACACAACCAGCAAACGCAAACATGTTTCTGGATCCCAACCCCATAAACGCTTCAAAATAATCCCACACGATACCACGATCATGATCCACTCCTTCCCAAATGTACATCACTAAGCTAACTCGACCTTGGTAGGGCGAGACTCTTTCCAGAGCTGCACGATCATAGGAAGTGTATCATGTATTGAAAAACGCAAGACATATAACTCTTAGTCTTCTGAATACACAGCCCATCAGAGCAATGACGCATGCTGGACTGACAATTACTGCGCAAATGACGCCACATGAAACGATGAATGTACTATGTTCGTCTCTGTAGGAGATAGGTTTTCGGGAATGGACCTGCCTCAGTAACCATAAGGAAATCCCGTAAACCCTTCTTTCGTTGCAGCGCGGCAAGGCAGTGAGTTTC